TTTTTTTTTTGGTCAATTTGTGGTCTCCTAAACAACAATGCTACACCCTACATACTCAGCTTTCTGCAGTTCTCCCACTGGCGGTGGTGCATACCTTAGGCAACCTCTTTACCAATATGAGCCTCGGAAAAGTTGCTGTATCATTCACTCACACGGTCAAAGCTATGGAGCCTTTTTTCTCTGTTTTCCTCTCGGCCATGTTTCTTGGGGAGGTGAACTGGTTTTGTTATTTGAGTCATTTAATTTTGTCTTCTTGCATTAAGATTTTGCATACAAAATAGTTTTTCTGCATTGCCAACATGACATTCTCTGGTACAGTCTCCTACAGTATGGGTGGTTCTCTCTCTTGTACCTGTCGTTGGTGGAGTTGGTTTGGCATCCATGACCGAGGCCTCTTTTAACTGGTAAAAAAATAGAGGCACAATTTTGTCAATTAATTGTTGCAGTTGCTCTTGTCCTTGAAGTTCTATGAAAGCTGTCGTTCGTTTCAACATTTCTGTTCTGGATTTATACGATATGTAATTTTCTAAGGACTGGTTTTTGGAGTGCAATGGCCTCAAATTTGGCAAATCAATCTCGCAATGTCCTGAGCAAGAAGTTACTTGTTAATAAAGAGGTATGTCGCTCATTTGTGTGTGCCTGTGTGTGTGTGTGTGTGTGTGTTTTCTTGTCGAAATGCTGTGCTTGTGAAACTAAGAGCATTTTTCATGTTTTGTTTAGTTATACTTCATCTCCATTATTTTCATTGAAGTAATTCTTTCCAATCTGTTTCATTTGGAAACACTCTGGAAATGTGAATGGATTATTATCTTTCTTCCCACTATGATGTAAATGGTGTTCCATTCTTTTCATATAATTTTATGCAGGAATCCCTGGACGACATTACGCTCTTCTCCATAATCACTGTAATGTCCTTCATTTTGACGTTGCCCGCTACTCTTATCGTGGAAGGCATCAAGTTCACACCTTCATACCTCCAAGCAGCTGTGAGTAAATTGTAAATGAGAGTTCTGGTTTTAGTTTCTTTAGTATCAAGTCTTTCCTAGGAAATCATTTTTCAGATTCGGTTGCTTCTTGATTACCGGGACTGCATATTTTTTTAATTTCTCGGTTATTTATTGTTTCCAGGGGGTAAATATGATGCAGATTTACACGCTGTCACTCTTGACCGGTCTCTGCTTCCACACTTACCAGCAGGTATTCGCCACAAGAAAATTGTCTTTTATTGCTTTAAGGACTGGCATTGTTCATATACATATGTATGTGACTTGAAATTAACGACGTCTTTCAAATTTCAAGATTTCCAATAAAACCTCTGGTTGCATGTTGATACTTTCTAATATAGGAGATATCCGAACGCACTAAATCAATGTTCCTTGTTATGAAGCTTTCTTACCATCTTGATTTGCACGATCAGATGTATGCTCATGTGCTTTCTTTCTGGCAGATGAGGCTAAGAAATAATTTCTTTTCGCAGGTCGCGTACATGTTATTGCAACGTGTATCTCCTGTTACTCATTCTGTAGCCAACTGTGCGAAGCGTGTGGTGGTTATTGTGGCTGCTGTTCTCTTCTTCCGGACACCAATTTCACCGATTAACTCTCTAGGTAACCTAATGACAAAGGAACTAAAGAACTCATAGGAATAGTAACTTCAAAATGTTATCTGAGTTGCAAATTGAACCACCAACTGGGGGTACGTTTTAAACAACTACGAACTTGTTTCTTTCTAATCTCCCCCAACAATAATGACATGTTTACTATAATTAGGTAGATTTTAGAGGTAACTGTTTTTCTAATTTATCCTCTAATGATTGTGGAAGTTTGGTCGTGCAGGTACCGGAGTAGCCCTCGCCGGGGTGTTCTTGTACTCGAGAGCGAACCGTGTTAGGCCGAAGCCAAATACAGCTTGAAATTTTCTGGCTAAAAGAAAGTTTGTGGAGTCATTTTTTTTTTTTTTTTTTCGGTTGGAAACCATTGTTACAAACCATTGTTTCAACTACGAATGGGAAAAAAATTATTCAAAATTCCACTTGGTTACGTATATATTTAGTATTTCTCTAAAAAAGTTATAATATAAATTTACTTCTCAATTTATTTTATCCCATTAAGAAATTATTTTTTTAAGTAAACTAATGGGTTTTAATGGTATAATCAGACCCCTTAACTCACATAAACAATTGTTATAATAGTAATTTAATATTCTTCAACTAATTATTTGGTCTTAATATCCCTCAAGCTTATAAAAATTGCATTATTCACAATATTTTAAAAATCAATATTATGAATTCATATGCATATTAAATAGTGATGTAGAGCGTATGTATGATTGGGAAGAACACGAACAATTCTCAAGAAAAATCTCAAATTTCAATAATCAAGTCTGCTCCCCCCAAGAGAGAAGACGAGGGTTTTATTACATCAGATAAATCCCTAATCTTAAAAGTTCCATAAATAATAAAAAAGGTCCAATACTAATAAAAATAATAAAAAGAGCCCAACAATAAATAAAGACAACTAACGAGAAATAAACTAACTAAATACGAAGACGGTCATATTTATTTAAGAATGCTATCGCGGTCTCGTCTCCATCATCCTCCCCCTGTTGGGAAGGATTCGGCCGCGAATCCGAGCCGGTCTCGTCTCCGTCAGAATTGTCGCCCGCGAATGGAACCAAATGCTTGACGTTAAACACGTCAGAAGTGCGAATGTGAGAAGGAAGGCGAAGACGATAGGCATTGGGG